AGGTCAAAAAATAATCATATATAAATTTAGACCAAACATTAAGTATATTAATTAATGTTTGCGTGTAACTAGATGCCCTGTTACAGCCCCACTACACATAGCGGATAGTTCGATGATTGATGAACATACCAACAAGTGCTACCAGGTGTAACGGGGCACCATCGGACTATATTAATAACTGATACTTCTCTTACTAAAAGAGGCAAAGGTAGATAAACAACTAAACAAATGATTGTTGTAACGAAGATGAAACTGTACGTGGTATAGTTACTCTATCAAATATAATTGAGCATTGAATAACCCTGTCTTAACTATATTAACCTACAAGTATATTTGTTGCCTTTATGTCCTCCATTGATTGCGCGCGTCCGTATTTCCATATTGGTAGCGCTTTGATAGATATAATGGCCTATATTAACCAATTAGAGGGCTATTTCCAGCTTCAAGGATATGCAAGGACAATATTATAAAATGAGATAATATTATTGAGAATAGTAGTTGTGTTAATATTATTATCGGCACTTCATATTAGTGATGTAATGGGGCATACTGATTACAGTATAGTCTACTTTCACTGATTACAGTGAAAGCAGGTGCCTCAATTACCTCTCTTACACAAGAGGCAGAGGAAGCTTTACTTCTAAACAAACGCTTAGAAGTAGAGGAAAAGAAAAACTGTATTTAATATAGTTAACTATCTTAATAAAACTAATCTGTTATAACCTATGTTAACTATATTAAACTACAACTATGTATGTTGACAACTTGCCCTCCACTCATTGCGCGCGTCCATCGGTCATTGGTCAGCGCGTTGGTTGATATGATGGCCCATATCAACCAATGAGAGGGCATCTCCAACTTCAAGGAGATCTAGGAACAATATTAAAAGAAAAGGTAATATTGTGAAAAATATTATTAGTTATAATAATATTTTTATTGACACTTCATATAAGTGTCAATATTATGTAACGGGCTCACCCCGTTACAAGTGCCAAACGGGCTCACCGCTACAAAGTATTGGAGGTAACTGGGTGAAACAACTACGCAACGTATGGCCAAACATGAATGAGCTGTCACACCAGCCATGACGCTGTCATGACGTTGCAGAGTATTTACCGATGCTTCTTTAGCGGGACGGAGACTTTTTTATCGGACAGCAGCAAATCTAGGTGGAGACGTGAACGAGATCATTTCGGTGATTTGTTTTGGGTGTCGCACTGGTTTGACCCGTCTCTGCGCTGCGAAAGAAGTCTGTATTTAGGAGTGAAAGGTATGTTCAAGCCATGTGGACGCCGTTTCTGTTTTCCCATCTGCCTTACTTGTATGGCTAGTGCGCTGACTAATGGAGGCGCTCGTATCGACCAGACCATCCCAATATAAAAGGGTGGTCGTGCTGGTATGATATTTGGTTTCTCATTAACAAAATCTGTTTGTCAAAAGAATGATCATTGCGCGACTCTACAGAAGTATGCAGGCCACACATGTGTTCGCCCTGCGGGTGATCTGAGTGTCACTTGCAGCATTTCAGCATCGGCACGTTCATCGTTAAAGGATAGGGAAGACCGACTTATTGACCACTGCTTGCCATTCGAAAAACGCAGCTTATTATCCGAAGAACTGTAATCTTAAGCTAAAGAAAATATTGCGCATTAGTAAAGGCAACGTTTTTTCGCAGTAAGCGTGTTGTGAGCGCATGTGAATAAAGTCGTACTGGTCGCGTCATAATCCTGATTTCAAGTCGACTGAAGATTTTTGCTGAGGACATCTCGAAAATCTTGTATAGTAAAATAGACAGTATTTTTTACACTTCTCGATGGCCCCAACACCATAAGAACATCTGACGTACTGCATTCCTATTAAACCGCAGCGCTACAATACTCCAGCAAAAGGCCACCCCCTTTTACTTGGCCCCTTTAATGGGGACCATCCGCACGAGGTGAAAAGATAGCCGGTGAGCCGACTCTGCAAAGGCACGGGATGTGGTTTGTTTGTTAAAGACGTGCTTCGTCTTTTCCATTGTCGCCCTCGACAAAATTTCAGTTCTTCCGGCAAGTCGTTCATCCTTTAAGATATCCCCCGAAGTCGCCGACCAATTTGCTGGTCAACTCAAAGATTACTGATGGAATGGTACAGCACCATCCCATCAGTAATCTTTAATTTGGCCAGCATGCGTCCACGTCCCTTAAAAGTAGAGTGCTCCGAGCAGGTCCAGTGGCGCATTTCTAATCTCGGACTTAGTCAACGGACCACATTGAAGGTGCTACCCCGTAACGTCCGAACTATTTGAACAAAAAAAAACAGGAGGAGAGTGATCGCGTCGTTAATGATCAGACTTTAAATTAAATACTTATGATTGTTTAAGACATGTCTGTGGGGAAATCCTTTAACCTTCTACCATGATCCTTGTCGTTCTCTTATGCACTAGCTCATTCTGCTGGCTTAACCCCTCAGGCTCACGGGGGACGCTCCAAAACGCGTGGAACGTTTTAACCAAATGCGAGCACGTGCAGGGGGCTGGTGGCGCCTTGATAGTTAGGCCGGGTACCAAACTAGCTTTTCTGAACGGGACAGCCTGGCTTATCCCTGACACGCAGCTTCGGTTGTGAATCGAAACGGAACAGAAAAGATGTTCCAGGGAATATTGCTACGTGGGACCGGAATATACGCTCGGCGAACGAACCGGCGACTAGGATGCGGAACGGAGAAGGGCGGGAACTTGTTGATCCCTGAGTGAAGGTTGTTCACATGACAGCACGCGAAGGTGACGGAGAACAGTAACCTTCGAGCTTGTTAATCCCCGTCAGGTTCGCGCTCTGTCTCCCGCGGCGCACGCAGCGAAGAAAAAGCTTTTCCTTTCAACCATGGTCCACTTCCCGCTCAAGGTAAGAGGCCGGCATGCCGGCTGTTGCAAAGGCCTTCGTCGCTTGGCCGTTAATCGTTAATAGAACCAAAATTTCTGCACATGGTAATCACATGTAAATAGACTCGTCTACCTCTCCCTTGATTATTCTCAATACAATACAATCGGGACGGGCTGTTCGATTACAATCGTTTTGGTATCTACAGACATGTGTTTTCCTCGCTGTGGTCCTCAGTGGAGACATATTGCACGCTTCAGTTTTCATTTTGCCATATCTCCATCGATATGCTAGTTCCACGAAGCGTGACAACTTTTTCCAACGTTTTGCCTTGCGCTGTAATACTGTTTGTAGCGTTCGTATCATCAACAACGGCACGCCAAGGGGTCGACAAAGGTGACCCTTCGGACGGCTCGGATGTGGCAATCGACCAGCCTCTTACCGAGGCCACGGACTGGTTTCTCACGGAGCAGGAGATCACCGACTCGCGTGGTGGGGCACCTCGAGACGGTCTTTCTGTATACACGGAAGGAAATGCCATCACGTCCTTCACCGTACCAAATGAATTTTTCAATAGCGTCTACGACGACCTATCAGTAGTAGGAGATGGTCAGCGCGTTTTGATAACGGCGTATGAATCCGCGCTTATACCGTTCAAACCCGATGTAGATGTTTCAGGTGCTACGACCGGGTATCAAAAGGTGTTTGCAGGGATCGTCGAGCGAGGTGGTCAAGTCAACATCCTGTCTTGGGCCAATCTGCTGGAGCGAAGTAGCGTTGAGGTTCGTAACGTTATCAACTCCCTTCCTCCATCTCCGGTCAACGATGCTCGTGCGTTATTCATCTTCGATGATCGTTTGAGCACGATTTCATCATCTCATCACCAAAAGACGATTGTCATTGCAGCTACCAGCTCGTCCGGGCACGATGATCATCCGGTTGCGTACGTGGGAGGACTTGACCTCACGATCGTTGGGACAACATTTACCACAACAGCTCAGCTCTTCGTGATGCTGCCGGTATCACCATGAGATTCAAGGGCTGGATAGACGGTCATATTCGTATTCATGGGCCCGCAGCCAAAGATGTGGCGAGTAACCACCTTTCTCGCTGGAACTCGGACTATATGCCAACCCGGGGATTAGAAGATGACATGCTCAGCTTTAACAATCCTCCCTATTACAAACTCGATCCCCTTGACTACGCTAGTAGTACGAACAAGTCAACGCTTGGAAAACAGAGCGTGCAGATTGTCCGAACCTTTAGTTGCAAGTACGAGCATTATACAGAGTTTGCTCCGCATGGCGAAACATCGTTATTGCAGGCGCGTATCAAGGCTATCCAGAATGCCCGTAATTACATTTACATCGAAGACCAGTATTTCATCCTCGTACCTGAACTGCTTGACGCTCTCTTAATGGTGATGCCGAGACTGCAGCACGTGATAGTGGTCGTACAGGCTTCCGTGGGCAACGTCGTGTACAGTGGCTATGAAAAATACTTCTACGATATGGTGTCACCTCTGAAGAAGAAATACCCAAACAAGTTCAAGGTGTACACCACCAAACGTAAGTTGAACCTCTACATTCACAGCAAAATTGTCATTATCGACGACGTGTACTTGTCCATTGGATCTGCCAACTGGAATCGACGCAGTATGACGTCAGACTCGGAGCTTAACGCGAATGTTGTGGACCAAGACACAATAAAGTCGCCTGACGGGATTACGGTGAACAAACTCGCACGTGACTTCCGTATCCGCAAGTTCCACGAAATGACGGGTGTGAGCTATGACAAGCTGGACGCGATGACGTTCCTTGACGCCGCAGCCCAGTTCGATGTCGCGGCTGCAGACGACATGTCGCTCCTGCAAATACTTTCGGCTAAGACTTACCTGTACCATATTGTCTTCCTTGACTCTATTCGCCAGCAAGTGGATCCACAAGACACCTGCAATACGTAAACTATCCAGTACTTTTCAATACAAAAGATATTTCTGCTGCGACGATAGCAATAATACCCTTTATTTGTCTGTCATGCTACGAGGTCACCAAGGTCCACGCTATAGAGTCCTCCACACATTACTACCCGCAGAAGAAGAGTTCCTTCTTTTGTCGAACAGTCCAGCGTATTATTTCCCTTTTAAGTTTGCATCTGATCCAGCAGTGCGTTGTACTCGACGCATTTCTCAGACAATACGAGCACCAAGTGCTGGACATTATCAGCATCTTCTCCACTCTTGAGTGAAGAGCCAAGGCCCGTTCACTCTGTAGATCACAACTGGTCTCAATTTGCATCAATTGTGTCTGCTGCTGGACGTCGGGGGCTCGTAGTTGGTCCAAGATGCTCGTTAATTGTTGAAGCTGCTGCAATTGAGCTGAAACCTGCTGCAGACGGTCTGCAGAACTTAAAATAGCCGCACGTTTAAGCTCGTCACCAACTCGGGAGCTGCTGTGGATGAATGCATTGGCAAACGTGAGCTGTAACTGGCCAGAAGTCTCTTGGTCTGCAGCAAAGACGATATAAATATTTCTTGAAAGTTTTATCGGTATTCCATGGTACGTACAGAGTTCACGAAGTTTGGCGGACCCGGATACAGCTGCAGTAAGTTGATCCAATTGCGTCTGAAGACTGCAAAGACGATCGATGAGCGTAGTTGAAGAAGATGGCGATGGTGACGAGCCTAATAACTTGAACCGGAGCGATGCTTCACGACTTTCAAGGACATTCATAACACTACAAGTTTTAGCCTCACGAGCGACTTAGAACCTGCATTAACCAATAAATACGACTATCATTATAATCCCTTCACAGTTACGACTAACGCTTACCTACCCTGTAGTACTTTATATCTGCATTGTAGTTTATCAAAATGCGCATTTGTCTCAGCAGCATTTCGCGATTTGATTAAGTGTCAATGAACGTATACATCACAATATGGCACTGTAGTGGACAATAATGTACTTGTGTTATGCGGATACACTATCAGTGCTGTTTACTGCCTGTAGGTGTACTGTATACTATACCCTTTTTTGAGTTAGAGTCCGGGTATAGTTGCATTAAGTTTAAATATTTCGTTCGCTGGCTCAGACGAATGCGCAATGTGATAATCCTTTCCAAAAGATGCACGTATCCGATAGCTCCCACCGTGTACGGAATCAGTAAGTTATGTGAACATACATCAATGGACTTTAAAGTGAACATGTTTGCAATTCTAGATGAGGTATCGAGCATTTGGTATACACGTTACGCTTTCTTGTGCTATCGATAACCGTATAATGCCAGTTCAGCAAGACAATCAAAATCTCAACTACAGTTCATTCTTGTTTCAATGAAATGCTCAGCTCGTGTTCACATCGAATCAGACTCGCGACCCTATTGAGAATGAATATTGAAAATCTTCGTAGGGTGCTGCGCGTGTAAGACTGATGTATTGAGTGTATGATCTCGTCGACTGTCCTCGTTTCAGCTTTCGCCTTTTACCAGTCCTAGTCAAAGCCACCACAACAGCCTCTGCCCCAGATCCTTCCCAACCAAGGCCACCCCAAGCTCCGCCGCCTTAAAAATGCTCCTTCTTGTTTCCATCGGGAGTCGTCACCGTACCAGGTGCTGCTTCCGCTGGCGTAGCCGCCGAATGCACGACAGGTTGATCGGCAGCAAAAACGTTGGCGATAGGAATCGCAACAGCGACGGCAAATACGGAAATCTTCATTATCATGAAACTCGGTGTACTTGTGCTTTACAAGTAACTTGCGTTATATTGTGTTGGATATTCGTCTCCACTGTCTTCATTTAAGTGTTTATGACAGAAGAATATGATCTTCTTTCTAGCGAGTCTGCAAGAGCTTTACTTACCACTTCTCTTTGGGTTGATTGACGTGATAGGTAGTCAAATGCGTAAAGTTTAGAACAAATCGCAATAGTTCGGGAAATTATGGGATCCGTCCATCATCAGGTAAGCTTTTATTTCGATTAAAATGAATTACTCGCTACCTCCATAAGTTTTCCAATAATATTGGATATGATTTGTCCTTTCTGCTTAATCTTCCTTCTTGTATGTTTCTGTAAGCGCTGTCTTAGAATAGTCGGCACGCAGCTTCCCTCCGTCAGTTTACAAAGTATCGAACCACTCAAGTAGTGTTGCGTTCTTAGTGTTCTTTCTCAGCATGGAGAGTACAAACGTTTAAAGCTTTGGTTCTGGATTGTGTTCTGTGCTTTCCAGCATCACCATATACGATTTCCACGCGTCCCACATTGGATTGTCGGACGTATAACCGCTTGCTTTGTCGAGCTCAAGAAGCTTAAAAACATCATCACCACTCTTTTTTTTAAAATCCCAGATATTCCTCTGATACGCCGCCAGCTGTTCTGCCATTTTCTTCGTGGCAACATCTCTTTGCGCCACAACAAGCTGCCCTGCTAGCACCGGTTCACCGAAGCGATTTAATAACCATTGAAATAACGGTAAAATTGGGGATTCATTTTTTAAGTCCTGATCATGTTTTTCATCAGTCCACTTATACAACAAAGCAGTTTTTAAACTTACAGCATTTTTTTCCGTTTTTGGGTCGTGTATTGCGGCCTCTAGCAGTCTGAACAACTCTTCTTTACTGTGATGAGTAAGAAGTAGTGAAAGCCAGGCGTATGCAGCTTCAAGATGCCCAGTCGTGTCCCTTTGTCCCAGAGAGGCGGTCCACTCCAGCAGATCCTTCTTAAATTTTCCGTTTTCTCGAAACTTTCAAGGTCCTCAAGCTTCTTGTCAGTGATCGATGCTCCGATTATATCTTCGGAGGTCAAGGAATTTATTCCAAAATTCAAAGTCGGCGCATCGACATCAAATTCAGAGGCCGGGAGATTTAAATCAAATTCACGGCCCGCTCTTTCTTCGTCGCCTTGAATTTCCTCCGTCGTAGAAGACTTTTGCTTCAATTGTCGTTTCTCCCGCGCGTTACTAGGTGCATGCTGCGAAGCGACGATCATCTTTACCATAGTTTGTGGACGATTTGAAGCCGATATTAGCACAATAACCGTTGCTAGCACCATATACCAGACCAGATGCTTTACTTTGTTAATCGTGGAGGCCATTCTCAATGGAGCAATGTAGCAATGAAGAGTTAAAAGCGAAAAACAAAGTAAGAATCAACAAGTCTTCTACTAACTGAAAAGAACCATGATCCATACGTTTTTATGCAAAATAAAAAGGAAATCAAAGCTTGCGTGTCTAGCTGGATGATCCAGCTAGACTCCCACGCAACTGCACGACCGATACGTTTTCCCAACGTATGACGTCTATAATGCGCGGCTCAAACACACGTTTGAACCGCCTCGCGCTGAATTCAGGGCTCGGGCTGAGCTCCTGGATTTGAAACAGGGTAAGCGTGATATACACGCTTACGCCCAACACGTACGATACCTCGTTAGCTGTATCGTACTGAACCCAATCGATGAACACACGCAGGTTACTGTGTTCATCAAGGGTCTGACAGATGGTCCTGTCAAGACCCACCTGTTCCGCTTGGAGCTAGAATCGCTGGATCAAGCGATCACTGCAGCGGAACAGGAGGACTTTAGCCTACAACAGGCTCACGTCCACTCGGGATCCTATCGTCCACCGAGACGACAGGAGGGCGGAGGTCCAGACCAATGGACCTCTCCTATGTAGAGAGCGAGCGACCTCGCTCCCCAGGGTACAAGCGATTGCAAAAGTGCAATCGCTGTCAGAAGTTGGGCCACTACGCTTATGAGTGTAGTGCCCCACGCCCAGTGTCTCGTAACATTGGGAGTGACGATCGACTGTCTGCCAAGAAGGGCCAGAGACGTGGGTCCCACGTTGCTGCGAAATCGCAACAAAGTGGTGGACCATCAAAAAACGGTCGGGGTCAGGTGACGGGGCGGAGCGCCCTACTGATCCAGCAACGTCAAGAGAGTTCGCGGGACTCTTGACGAGGGTTGCTCCCAACACACAGTCACTGTGTATTGCCGCTCCCAGTGATGAGGTATCTCTCATCACCTTGAAGATCGAAGTGACAAAGAACATGTCACTTCGCGCCCTAGTTGATTGTGGGGCTTCGAACAACTTTGTTCGACGCCAATCGCTAGATGATCGTAGGCTCAAATATGTTGAGCGCGAGACCCCTCCAACGAGGATGTCGGTGCGCCTTGCAACGGGCGCATCCGTAACAGTAAAGAAACGTGTAGTGGGAATTCACTACACGCTTGAAGGCAAAAAGTACGATAATGATTTCATCGTATTTGATCTGGATGACAAATTTGATGTCATCCTAGGATTACCATGGCTCAGAAGGTACGAGCCATGGGTCAGCTGGCAGCATCGAACCGTGAAGATGCCTGCCGCTTGTTCATCAGATGGCCATCTGATGAACGTCTTGGAGCGTTCACAAGCGTGTGAATGTATTACGAGTGAGTGTGATGGCCTCACTTGTGGTTCGGTCGTTAGTAATACTGCACAAGAACTCAGCGTGACAGACAGTCACGCTGTAGAGCAAGCTGCCGGCGCTGTGCACAAGCACAGGCAGCGCCGAAGGTCCACCACTCGAATAAGTCGAGTGGACCGGGACATGAAAGCTCGCCTAGAGGGCAGCATTCACCGAAGAGTAAACCGGTTGCCCAGAAGCGGCAACACGGTAATCATAGATCAACTGGAGAGTTGATTGTAGAGGATCTCGCTGTGGTTGCGCCACCACAGCTAGAGGAAGTCGATGGTACAGGTTCCATCGAGCCTGCGGGAATAAGTCCCCAGGAAACAATCACTGAGGGAATAAGTCCCCAGTGCCCTGAGGGAACAAGTTCCCAGGAAGTAACCGAGACGTTGAACGTCTGGGTTAATGACGGATCAAACGTAGGCGCTTATACGCTTGATCTGTTCTCGCCTCCGAAGTTAACTTCGGAGATAACTCAGTTGCCTACGCTAGAACCTAAAAGGTTCTTGCGTGATCTGCGTAGTGGCAAAGTCAAGCAGATCTGTGTGCTCGTCGCAGAGGACGAGTACATGACTGACATTCGGTCAGCAACAGTTTTTGCCGAGAACGAACGGGTTCTCAGCAGCTCATCAATGGACGAGAGTGTCCTTGATGAGAAGACTCGGATTGAGCGATATACATCGCAATCCTGGGAGTCGCTGAAGTCAAATCCTTTGTATAAAGATTTGGTTGAATTCAAGGATGTATTCCCTGAATCCGTTCCGTGCAAGTTACCTATGGATAAAGGTACTCGACACGAGATCGACCTTGTTCCTGGCACAAAATATTGTGTCATGAAGCAGTGGCCACTGCCTCGGGAACAGGTCGAGGCGATCGACAAGTTCTTTGCCGATCGCCTAGCAGCGGGCCATGTGAGGGAGTCAACTTCACCTCACAGCTCTCCGACCTTCTGTGTGCGCAAGGCCACAGGAGGGTGGCGGATAGTGCACGCGTTCAATAAGTTGAACGCTGCAACGATACCGGCGCAAACGCCGATACCGAGAAAGGACGTAATCATAGATGGTATGTCTAAGAGTACCATCTTTTCGTCCATGGATCTGATGGATGGTTTCTATCAGATCCTAATGCGTGAACGAGACATCCCGTACACAGCAGTGAGCACTCCCAGTGGTGTGCTCTGGGAATGGTTGGCGATGCCGCAAGGGCTTAGTAATGCACCAGCCACATTCAATAGATGTGTTTCACATCTATTGAGACCGGTGCGCGAATTCGCACCGAGTTACTTCGATGATGTGTTCGTCCATAGTCGATCTATGGACGGGAAAACAGACGTGGAAGTCCATAGACTCCACGTCCGTAAGGTTCTTACACTTATGCGCGAGCATAAGTTGTACGCCAACCTCAAGAAGTGTATATTCGCAGCTAGCGAAATACCACTTCTTGGGTGCATCGTCGGAAAGAACGGCGTACGCCCTGATCCAGAAAAGATCAAGGCGATCACCGACTGGCCAGTGCCAGTCGATGTCAAGGGACTAAGGAAGTTCCTTGGGCTAGCGGCGTACTTGCACAAGTACTCGCGCAATTACGCCGAAATGACAGTACATCTTTCTTGTTTACTCAAGAAAAATGTAAAGTGGAACTGGAACGCTGATTGTCAGCGTTCCTTTGAACGTATCAAGCAAAGCTTGATGCAATCGGCTGCGCACTGATGCAATATGATACAGACGGCGCCGAGCGTGTCGTCTGTTATCAATCGCGTCAGCTGCAACCGGCCGAGCGCAATTACTCGGTGCATGACAAGAAACTCCTTGCCATGAAGTATGCACTGGCTAAGTTTCGCGTCTATCTCTTAGGAGATAGACCGTTCATTGTGTATACAGACCATGCTTCACTACGCAAGGCTGTAAACAGTCCACACCTCTCGCAACGAATGGCGAGATGGTTGTCATTCTTCGCGGAGTACAACTTCTCCGTGGAGTATAAGCCGGGACGACTTAACGTCGTCGCCGATGCTCTCTCACGTCGGCCTGACCTAGAGCCGACTGTGCAATCCGACAGTGATGCGAACACCAATGTCGCCACGCTGAGTACCAGCGTCTTGTCATCGAGCTTACTCGACGACATTATAATGGCATGCGCACAAGATAATGATCTTGTACGCCTGATGGAGTATCTCAAGGACCCATCCACGCAAGCTAAGAAGTGCTTGCCTGCCATGTATCGATCTTCTCTCGATCGATACACCCAGCGGGACGGCTTACTGTACTACACAGCCGTCAACAACGACACGCCTCGTGTCGTTGTACCGCCACAACATGATCTCAGGTTACGATCATGTTTGAATGTCACGATGCACCAATAAGTGGGCATCGCGGCCGTGAGAAAACTTACCTCACGGTCAGTCGCGACTTTTACTGGCCACGCCAGTATAAGTTTGTGCGCAAGTACGTGCGTGCTTGCGAGGTGTGTCAACGAGTGAAGCCTAGTCCTTCACTCCGTGCACCATTGCAGCCTCTACCTGTTCCGGCAGAGTGCTGGGAGTCCGTATCAATGGACTTCGTCTTTGGGTTTCCCAAAGACGCTCACGGGCATAATGGTATTCTCGTGTTTGTAGACAGGTTCAGCAAGATGGTACATCTTGTTGCTGTACCTGAGTCGATCACAGCAGAGGGCTGTGCTCGAGTGTTTATCGATACAATCTTTCGATTGCACGGTTTACCCCGTGAACTTGTGTCCGATAGGGACCCCCGGTTCACGGCTGAGTTTTGGCGCTCCGTGTTCCAAACACTTGGAACACGGCTCACAATGTCTACTTCTGACCATCCAGAAACTGATGGTCAGACTGAACGCGCCAATCGCGTCCTCGAAGAGATTCTTCGAGGGTACGTCCACTCGTTTACGAGTTGGAGTGAGTTCTTGTCGATGGTCGAATACGCCATCAACAACTCAGTGCATGCCTCCACGAAGCATACACCGTTCTACGTGAATGGCCTTCGCCATCCACGTGTCCCCACCTTAGTAGAGGGTGACTCTAATTTAAGGGGTGGAGGGACTCGCTCGAGCGAGAACCAATCTGGCTCTTGCGCATCACGCGACAACATTATAGTCGATGCGAAAGTAACTGAAGTCGTACCATTCGACTTCGGTGAAGAGGAAGAAGTAAGAGCGATGACGCTCTTACTGATAACGATGCTGAAGATATCAGGTATCACAAGTGAGAACAGTAATGTTCTCACTAAATTAGTAACCAATATCTCTACAGTGCACTCACAATGCACTGCAGCCAAAAGCAACAAGTCAGCTGAGGATTTCCTGCTGACTCGTGAAGCGGTAGTCCGTTTCGTGTAAGACTCCATCGCAGAAGCGGTGGATAAGCAAGAACGAAACGCAGACAATAATGGAAGGGCAAATACTCAAACATTTATTGAAGGTGATTTAGTTTTACTGTCAACAGTAAACCTACCTAAACATGTAGTGACTAACGTGGGCAGCAATAAATTGTTGCCCAAGTACATCGGCCCGTTTCGTGTATTGCGCCGCCTTGGCAACTCATACACGATCGAGTTGCCACGCACGATGCGTACGCATCCTACGTTTTACGTGGGACGTCTTCGTCCGTACGTTCAGTACGCGGCATCTTCGAAC